GGTGGGTTAAACCAGGTTTTATAGATAGCTTAATCTTTTACTTGTATGAAAAGTTGTTTATAATTCCGTTATATTGACAAAATTGGGCAAGTAACCAAAACAGACTAAATTCTTCCATAGATACAAAGATTTGGTTTAGAAGTTTGGATGTTCCTGTAGAAAACATATTTCAACCGGAATAATACATCCTAATTTCAACGCTGATGTTGTTTACCGAGCCCGGAAATTTAGATACGATCGGGGTAAACTTATCAATCTTTAAAAAAATTTACTCTAAAAGGTTGCTCATTAAATCAACACTGTAATTTGATCTTTGAATATTGTTTTTATTGGTATAAAACATTGATTTTGTTATCAATAGATTAAAACCAAACTAAATATTATTGTGATACACATATGCACATTCGCGATACTTCAATCTGTCGATGCCTATGTTTTTGGCATTGCATAAGGTCATGTTTTTCTCTGACTGTTAAGGCGTCTTTACACTGCATCCATTGGAAGTTGGATGTATACTGATTGATATTGTTTTTGTATTTTTTTATTAGTTGTTATTGACTTTGAATTAGCTGTCAATAACTGCGAGTGCTCTCAGATCTGTATTTGTGTCTTATTTATTTCAAGTGATGTATAAATACCCTGCTACTTCCGGTCTGTATTTTTGTTATATGTTTTTTGTTTTTTGCTTTGTAAAGATCTGAAGAGTTTTTTCAACTGATTTTTATAGTTTGTACTGTTACGCCACTGTCACATGTAAGGGGAGGGTTGGCGCCTTCAAACATGTTCAAACCCGCCACATTCTTTATGTGTCTGTCCCAAGTCAGGATCCTGTAGTTCAGTGGTTGTCGTTGGTTCATGTCTGTCATATTTGTTTTTCGTTAATTATTTTGTTATGCCGTTAATTATTTCATATTTTTCATGTCGGGGCCTTTTATAACCGACTAAACGGTATGGGTTTTTTTCTCATTGTTGAAGGTCGTACGATTGCCTATAATTGCTTACATCCAGTTCATTTGAACTTTGGTGGATAGTTGTCTCATTGGCACTCATACCACAACTCCTTATTTTTATAATCATAGGTTAATGTGATAATAATTGGGACCCAGCAGCCAAAACCGTATAAACATACATCACAGACATACAACGCAACCGACTAAAAATTCAAACAAACATGCAAATAAATCTAACAAAGACGCCAGGAAAAAAGGTGTAGATAGTGAATTTGAGAATGACGTCAACCAAACAAACAACTATTTGTCGTTGATAGTACATAACGTATATAGCATTCACTTTTTCGATAAAGTAAAAATAAAGTAAATATGAATACAAATACAAATACAAGGGTTCACAAATTAGAAACAATACTGTAAAAACCATGTGTGTCCGAATCGCACCGAATTACACCAGGAATGCTCAAAGTCAAAAAGTCAAATCTCGGAGGCGGGATACATAATACCGAGTCACGTCAAAAGTCATACGACCAAAAGAAACATATTAGCACGAAGACAAATAACGGGAAACTAAAAAAAAAATAAAAAGATACACAACTTCAGCATCTAGAATCTCAAGACCATCTTGTACTATTCGTGAAGTAGACACTGAATGTTTATCGATTAGGTCTTGGTACTTTCTGATGAATTTTTAGAGAAAAAGGACGAGACGTTCTTTGACAAAACCATGGCTCATTAATGTTTTGCTCGGACACCGATGACGTTTTACAAAGTCTGATTAGCAGCTGCAAGCTCTTTAATATTGTATGAGTTGAGAAATGTATACTCCATACACGGATGAAGTTGGTATATTGCTGCTAAGGTGAGGAAAATTTATAATTTCAAAATTGAAATCGTCTCGATTGTCATCGATTCTAATACTGAGATGACCGGTGTTGCCAAATTCAAGGTAAATGTCTATTTTTGTTATTTCCCATTCTTTTACATATAAACCTCGCCTGTTTCTAATAGTTCACCAGCAGCGGTATCGAAACAGTGATAGAAAAGCAAATAACACTTTTAATCTTGTGAGTTCGAAACGCTTTTAGTTACCGATTTACTCAATAAGGATCGTTTGGATATAGACATTGACTTTTTTTTGGTATACCTTGAAGTTTTGCATTTTTGCTATTTCTATTCTTTAACATAATTTATGTTTCATTGCTTTCTGTTAGGATTTTTTAACTTTTGTTGATGTATAATGTGAAAACAACACTTTATAAATGTCATGTGATCTGTAAGAAGAGCTTAACTGGATTTATCTTAATCAGGAACGCTCAAAGGCGAATATTTGAAAGTCAATGATGTATAAGAACCGAAACAGTTGAAGAGGTAAATGACCAAAAAGGGCCAATATTCAGCTTATGTCAACTTTGCTCGAGGGAGTATAAAATAGTATGACGTTTAAGATTTTAAGACTAGAAAAGGTTTCATCAAAAATATGAACGTTTCAATTTATGTGCTATGGTCTCTATACCCAGCGAGCAAATGATACCGAAATTTTGTTTTTTACTATTTTTTCTATACTTTTTCTATTTCATTTTCTGTGTAAAGTGACGTGCATATGTTGTTCTTTTATATATACATATAAACCTTTCGCGGGACAAGTCGTTCACTGCTCTCTCTCTCTCTCTCTCTCTCTCTCTCTCTCTCATTATATATTATTAATGACATTTTTTTAACAAGAGTAACATTGGGATTGTGGGTTCTAAATGATAAGAATAACTTTATTCATTCCCATGGGGATTTTGTTATTTCATCTATAGATGCATATCCGATATTAACAGATCTACTTGCGTTTTGGTAAAATTAACATTTGATTTACTAAAATGTCCTTTGGATTATGAAAACTTTAGCCAAATCATTTGCTCCTTTCGTGTATACATTATGTTGTGAGAAGTATTTAAGACAAAACACCTGCCAATATATAAAGCCTATCTTAAATGATCCATATGTCACTCACGATAAACAATGTTTTGTGTGAGAGCATGGGGAGCTATTCAATCTTCTTGTCGTATTTCATATTTTCATCTTATCCTATCATTTCTTATATATTATCCATATGTTTGATAGCCATGCAAATGATAAAGGATACTCGGAGTTTAGCACCATTTTTATTATTTGTATTTATTTAGACGATTTCATGGAGGTCTGTTCCATTGATGAAGAACAATTCGAAATGCTCGAACTAACGCAATTATGAAACCATAATGATTTGTACAGGCAGTTTTTCGTCAATTTCCGGTCCACTTGACAACGAAATCCACTAGAACTTTTTTTTATAAAACATGAATAGAAAAAGAGGAAAACGACAAAAAGAATTAAAAGATAAAGCAACAAACGGTCTTGTTATTGGCTTTGAACTAGCTATGAGTAACTGCGAGTACTATCAGATCTGTACTTGGTGTCGTCTTTGTTGTGGGGATGTATAAATACCCTATCACGTCCGGTCTGTGTTTTTGTTAAATCTGCTTTGTATCGATCTGATGAGTTAAGCCTTTTCAACTGATTTTCAATAGTTTATTCTTATGTTGTACTGTTACACCTTTATCCCAGGTTAGGCGAGGGTTTAGCGGCAGCAAACTAGTTTAACCCGGTGTTACGGCCTGAAATCACCTTTAAATTGTAGCAAACAAAAGACACAAATCAATAATAAAATTTAACAAGATTTATTATACACAAGTTTACAAGAAATATTATACAAATTGAAATGTCAACTCAACTGTTAAAATATAAGTCCGATCCTTTGACTTTTTTTATCCGGTATTCTTCTCTTAACTGTAATCGAATATGTCCAATAAGTTCACAATCTAGTATTATGTAGTTAACGTAAATAAAAGTGTCAATCCAACAACTCCAGATAACTTCTAAGAATCCAAGTATATTTTATGTCTAATATGAAAGTCTGACTTTGGTGTCTGTATATATATAGTTGTCACGGAAATTTCTAGAACACTATAGAAGTAAAAATCCTAGAAAACTATAGAACGGAAAAGTCCAGAATTTGTAGAAGATGATTATGCGGTATGGGTTTTGCTTATTGTTGAAGGTCGTACAGTGACCTAAAGTTGCTAACTTATATGTCATTTAGTCTCTGTTGGAGAGTTGTCTCATTGGCAATCATACCACATCTTCTTGTTCTTATATTCGGCAATAAATGGTTGTCTTTACAATATGTTAGGGTTCATTTGAAGGTATTGAAAAATATGGCCGTGTTCACAACCCACAATTTGCTCCGGGTACATACAAAAGATCTCAAAATCTCAAGAATATTGTTTTTTTACACATAAAATGCATTTGAATTTTAAGTATCTGGTTCCTGCCATGCCTTATAACGTTTCCATGTACACCTGTGTTTCTTTACTCAGATGTGAACTAGTATCTGTTTACCCTTCCAGGAGCACATGTGATCATCCCCAATTTTTATTGGGTTTTTATTGCTCAGTCTTTAGTTTTCTATGCATTGTTTTTTATTGCTCAGTCTTTAGTTTTCTATGTAGTGTTTTTTAGACTGTTCTTTATTTTTGCGTACTTATTCGTTTTTTGTTTTTTTTGTTTTTGTATATTGCAATGATATGGTCGTTGTTTTTGAATTATGATTTTTAATAGTCCATATGGAATCTTCTGCCTCGTTTTCTGACAAAAATCGAAATGCCTGCCATTAAATTAAAAAGCAGTTTCATTATATTAGGTATGCTTTTTAAGTTCTAGAAGAAAGCATATGTTAAACTTTAAAACCAGTTCAAGTAGGCATATCTGAAAAAAATATTTCATTGGTTAAAAGTAATTTATTATTTACTATCTGAAGTCTATTTGCATTTCCTCGTCAGATTAGTTTAATAATTACGTTAAATCAATACGTTTTACTAAATCACACAGTTACATTATTTATCTAATATAGTTTTATCAGTAAGCTGTTATCTGCATCCTGTGTGTAGAGTACTTTATTTAGTATAGCGACTAATTGATGTAATTTGAAGTATCAAACGTTAGTTTGCTGAAAGTTTATTGGTCAAGAATACGGAGACTGGTGACGTATTATCACTTCAGCAATGACTTCAGCGAAGGGTTACAATGGACCCTGAGAACTGCTGTTTAAGTAAGTTTTATTTCAATAATTATTTCAAAATTTTAAGTGATGCATTTCTGCAAATATGAAATGAAAATATTAACCATATAATAAGTTACAGTTATTTTTTTAAGTAAAAGCTATGGTCATTCTTGACAAAGTATTTTATTTTAATTCAGCAGTATACAATTTTTAGGCATATGCAATTTTATACACTGTATATGTTGGATTCATATCGACGTCCGGTCTCTAAACGAATTCTGTGCTTTAAATCGACGTCCAATCTGGCCTTGTGGTCATAAATCTTTCGAGCACGATTTTTGTACTCGGACTCAGAAATCAACCAATCAAAATACTGGATTTGATGTTTCGAGCACATATTTTGTAATCCGAGTACTGAGTAAAGTTTTATGACCGAAGGCCCTGACGTTATAATGAAGTAAGACTCCAAATCGACGGCCGATTCTATGCATCTCTTATCGCCGTCTTTTTCGATTCTTGGCTGTTGTTTAATAAAATTCATAAAAATTCTGTTTTCATAATTCATTATTGTGGTACATCGGTAATGATTTATATTTTAAAAAACGCGTAGTTCATCTGAACAATTTCAATGACAAATTTGAAAATCTCTACCATTTGTGGCTAACGTCTTTGAATTTACGCTGTTTTGATAATAAAACCGTTACAATGTCCAGAATATTCAACTTTTTTTTTAACTGTATAACTGTGAAATATTGTTTTTTTTCAAGAGATACAAAAGCTGCTGTCGTTAACGTGTATGTGCAACCCCTTCCGTTCATAGTTAAATGAAAGCTTTACAATTTTGTACAGGCTATAACACCTTGGTTAATCGTTATTTTATTTCTGTGTCATTTGTAACCACGTTTATTTGTCCCTTGTCTTAAGTTAATTCATGAGCACCCAGTTGCACCTTCTCTCTCTCTCTCTTTCCTGGTATGGTTTACTTCTGCATTTGACAATAGCTACCGACTGGAAAATGGTTAGTTTCCGGTGATCTTGGCCTAAAACCGGGTTTTAAGGAGGTTTTCAATGAGTTGGTTTGATTCAACTTGCAGTAAGTAGTCTGTAGCATCCAGGTACTAATGACTAGAATTAAGGAAAGTCTATTTTTTACCTTAATAACGGTTGTGTTACAATTATTCAAAAGTTTATTTTCTATATAAAACAGAGGGCGAGGTATGTAGGATAGTTTGCTGTCCCCTTGACCTAATTACAACCAATAGAATTCATAAAAAGGGTTTTTCTATTCCAAATTTCCAATTCCAAACACTTATTGATTTCATTAGGGAAGGGTTAAGAAACGGTTGACAAACGAATGACAGACACAAAGCGATAAGAACATTTTATGCCAGTGACCGACCTGAAAATTGATATATGAATATACAGGAAACCCATCATATAGAGTTCATTTGTGTTATGAAAAAAAAAATTATAAATCTTTGATATACAATTATAAATAAATGAGTGGTGATGACTTTAAGATCATATGTTCCCTCATTATAGATCAAACGAAGGAAATTGCACTTTGGTGAAGTGTTTCTTAGTATAGAAATACATCAAAGGTGTTAAGTTCTGTATTTAATTGGAGTTGAACACGTGAATTCTCATTCGGTCTGTCTTTGGTTTAGGTAAGAGGCTTTTTTATATAAGGTTTTTGTTATTCTTAAATAATTTTGGATCAATTAACATGCATTTTAAAATCGAAAATAACATTTTTTTTCTGTAATAATTCCTTGCAGATGGGTAATTCAAAGAGATCTCAAAAACCATTCAAAAGAGGAGAAAAAATACCAAGGGACTATCAAAAACCATAAGTCGGAGAAGAACAGATATTACAATGACCAAATATATCAGTCGATAAAAAACTACACTGAATATCAAAAGTTGAGCAACACAAAACTTGCCAAAATTGAGTGGAATTGGTGCTCCGAAAGAGTTAACAGATCCTGCTCTATACGTGAGACATTCGATGTGTTACGAAATATGCGTGATTTTGAAAACACAGTCTTATTTTCTATGATAACCAACTGTGCTCTTCTTATCAATTACATGTTCTTTTGTTCAAATGAGACATGGTTAAAAGAAAAATTTACTTTTCTCATTGTAATTTTAATTTCTGTGTAGCAACTTTCGAGCACCAAACGCTTAAGGAATATGTGTTCCCGATTTGATATCATTTACCGGGCTGGCGATTTCTATCGTGATATCATTGATATAATGTTTCTGTTTATAAAATTTTGAATTGTTCAAACTACTAAGGATTTTCTAGCCCAGGAACAGATTACCTTAGCTTTGTTTTGCAAAACCTTTTAGAATTTCGGGTCTTCAACTCCGTACTTTTTATGAACTTTTTTATTCGAGCGTTATTGATGATTCTTTTGTAGACGAGACGCACACAATTATAAGCCTGGTATCTTTCATGAGCTATGTATTGCTTACAAGGAAGATTTAGAAGTATGGGTTCCCAATGGAAAAGTTGAAGTCCCTTCGAAAGTTTTACAAACGCATCATAATTTGGTCGTCGACCGTTATAGAATATCTGTTTCACATATGTCAAAGTTGCATTCCTTTTGTCGTAACCACACTCCCGTCCTTATGTCGTAACCACACTCCCGTCCTTTTTTATTCGTTTGGAAAATTACCGAGTGCCATTTACTGCATTGTTACAAGCAATGAGTAGTACGACTAGTGCTACTAGTTGAACAGAGACCGCTTAGCCTTCGGTAGCACTTGCTCCCTGTCCCCGTTTTCGATGGGATTCGTGTTGCTCATTCTTTAGTTACCTGTGTAGTGTTTTGTAATTGTTGTTGGTCTTTTCGTCGTTTTCTTTTTGATCATTGTGTTTAATTTTCCACTTGGTATTTCCGCTTTTTTTGCCAAAGACATTATTATTATGCTATATATTAAATGGTTTCCCAGCTAGAATATTTTATTTGCAGAATGATTGTATACAAAACGTCAGCTAGAATATTTTATTTGTAGAATGATTGTATACAAACCGTCAGCTAGAATATTTTATTTGTAGAATGATTGTATACAAACCGTCAGCTAGAATATTTTATTTACAGAATGATTGTATACAAACCGTCAACTAGAATATTTTATTTTCAGAATGATTGTATACAAACCGACAACTAGAATATGTTTTTGCAGAATGATTGTATACAAACCGTCAACTAGAATATTTCATTTGCAAAATGATTGTATACAAACCGCCATTTCTAACGGATATTTTAAGATATTGCTATGGTCAACGCTTTTTCACGCAAATAAAAATAAAAACAGCAGCAATAAATCCTTAATCAAATTTATATAAAATGCGCAAAGGTTTTGAAATCTTTTGATTTATTAGGTACTGAAATATTTGAAATAAAGTTTATTTTTTCAGAGGCGTGATTAATCTATTAATCCCTTTATTCTACATAGAGTCACTTACATACAAGCTACATAGAATAACAAAAATGAGATGTGGCATGATTGCCAATGAAACAACTATCCATACATGATTGATTGTTGGTTGCTTAACGCTGACCAAAGGACAAAGATGTGGACAATTACATGTCATGTATTCTTATAATATCTAAGATACAATTTTGAAATTCGCTTCATATTTGTACTTTATTCATGTTTTATGTGCAAGAGTACGCAGAACCCAAGTGTCAGAATCATGTTTTTTTCTTATTACCGGACATTTGTACTTGTTTGCACACTTCAAGAAATGCTTGTTTTACACTACCTGAATCGAACTGTAAGTAGATCTTGATTGGTACTTGGGCTGATGACAACATTATTTGTTGTACTTTATGGAATAGTAATTATCCTCGATAAACACTTAGAGTTGAAATATTGGTATAATTATTTCATAAATTTTCTTAGTCATCATTACATGGCCACCAACCCACATTTGCAATGTAAAGATATAAATATGACACTTATTTCCAATCCTTTTTCAGATCAAGACTGAAATATGGTAGATACAACACAAAACAAGTCTTATTTCTTTGATGAAGAGGCAGGATGGGGTAATAGATCTTACTTCACATTTTTCTCCGAATTCAATCGACCATGGAAAGGACTGTCTTATTTAGAATCTATCATATATATCGTGTTATTTCTAGTATCAATGTTTGTAAATATCCTCATCTTTTACCAAATAATCAATATTAAAAGCACACGAACAGTGACAAATTACTTCATGTGTAACTTGGCTTTAGCGGACATCTTCTTTACTCTTACAAGTCCTTTAATAGCAATACAACGCATAACTGAAACATGGGTTCTGGGCGGATTTATTTGTCATATGATGGTTTTCAATTTATTTGTTTCCGGTTGCGTCATTATTTGGACCATGACGATGATAAGTATTGACCGCTATATATGTATAAACAGACCATCATCAAAGAAAATTACACCTAGAATGGCAATCGTTTTCATAATAATAATTTGGATCGGTGGATTTTCGGTATCATCGCCCATTGCAATGTATTTTGTCATTCGACAATTCCCGTTCGGAACAGAAACTGTAAAAATCTGTACACTTATTTGGCCGGTATCTAAGGTCAGGATATCCGTCGTTTTCACCGTTTTTCTATGTGCATTAGGATTTTTAATTCCGTTGGCTATTCTCGGATTGAACTATTTTCTCATATTGAAAAGATTCTGTAAATCTAGACGAGCAATAGCTAGCATCAAAGGAAATACATTGACAAAGAACAAGCGACATAGAGAAGCCAGAGATCTGCGAGTGATTCAAACACTTGTTCTAGTGGTAGTCTTATTTCTGTTAATGTGGTCGCCTATATTTATAGTATTTGTGTTAATACAATTGGACGGAATGGAAGATAAAATGAAAATGTCATCTCAAATGTTTATAGCAACTTTAGCCATAGCCGTTTGTAATGGGTGTCTTAACCCATTTGTATATGGAATTCGTAACTATCGGATTAAACGATCTGTTTTAAGATGTCTATTGTGTCGAAAGAGACAAAGAAGAATAAAACAAGACAACGAACCCAACCATAACCAGTCTGTATATGCAATGAGTTTTACTCAAAACTCAAGTTCCGTTTACTAGTTTGTTAGTTATTGTTCCTTTGTAAATTTACATAATAGCATAATATACTGTTATCGCATTAGTAAAGATTAAAATAGTTTTTTAAATAAATTGTATAGAAGGGTTTTCTTTATATTCATTAAAAATATATAATGCATAGAATTTACTTTATCGTCTAGAGGATGTATGCAAGGTACTTCATCGGAACATCTAATTGAGTTTATAAACATGTATCTACCGCATAAGTTGGCGTTTTTAGCTTGCAATAAATTATTTATTCGTTATTTAACAAAATGAATGTGAAAGAACTGAAATTGTTTATCAGATTGAATGCATAAACTAATCGCCCCTCTGCGCAAAAGTGAAGTGGTGATAAAACAGATGTACTTATAAATGAAAACAACACCAAGTCTTTATAAATGTCAGGCGTTCGAAGTGTTTTTTTTCTGGATTTTCAGGAATGCTCAAAGCCGAATACAAAATGTATAAGAACCGAAACAGTTGAAGTACTAGATGACCAAGAAGGACGTAAAAATAATAGCCAAATACATCTAACTTTGCCTGATCATTTTATCTTTTAATGAATTTATAGATACAAATTCAAGATAATACAAGTGGTTAAAATGTTTGTATTTATGGAAATTGACAACTCCGCCATAAAAGTATCTCATGTTTCGTCTTCTCCGCATACATAGGTTATTGCAGGCGAATATAATTTCTGAGTACTCTTTAGCTTTAAGATTAAATCGAAACGAAAAAAAATAAGAAGGACACCATATATAAACGATCAGCGATTTTATTCTTATAATTCACAATATAACAAGTGGCAAAACGTCAAATAAATATAACATAATCAGTAACAACTACAATGTAAACCAACGACTAAACGTCTACGTAAACAAACAAACAATACCCGTACATAATAATGTGACAAAATAACATAGTTCTTAAATCTTTGTAAATTAAAAAAAGCTGTCGTTTTGGCAAATAATAAAGCTTTTAATCGAATGCCTCTTTGGTTCATTGTTATACTAGAACATTTTTGGTTAGACAAATCTATGTTGAGTAAGGAAATAAATGCATTTCTGTGTAAATGTTTAATAAACAACTAATAATTAAAGACAAATGTAAAATTATTGGAAAAGCACCCTATATCATTTTTCTTTTTGGAATTAAAGTACATATATATCAAAATTTTAAAATGCTTTAAACTTTGCTATGTAATAATATGTATATTTTCTTTTTAAAATAAAATCTACTAAAAGGATCGAAGTCAATGTGTTTATATGGCACAAGGTAAAACACTTTGTAATGTATACAAAAACCTATTCAATTCACCTGTTAGCTTCTTTGTAAATATTGCTCTAGCGACCTGCATTTATTATCAAGAAAAGGATTTTGAAAAAGTACGGATGTCCAAGTCATACCTTATTTAAGAATTGAATGCTTCTTTTTGTAAATTTATTGAGGTGTAAAAGCGTTGACCGAAGTACATTTTAAAATGTGCGCTCGATCAACGCTTTTACAACCCTATAAAATTACTAAAAGAAGCATTCAATACTTATAATTACACGTTTTGCTAGGATCACGAAAACACGATTTCTATCAAGTTTTTCTTTTATTTAACTGTGCACTTTATTGTGGAAGCTCGCTTCTTCATGAATGTAACATTTCATTTTGAAATGAAGGTTACTTTTAGAATGACGCGAGATTGCTGTTAAAAATTAAAATAACGTATTATAATGAAACATACATGTAATGTAATTATTATGTGAGAACAATATAAAGTTTACCTGTGCTTGAAATGTATGCTCTTCTGTTTTTTCAAAGTTGAGGCATATATTTTCTTTAGACTATTTTTCTTGTGTGTGGCAATTCATTTTCTCCTTTCGGCCATTTTGGTTACTGAAAAAGTTTGCAATTGTTTTGGGCAATTTTAATACGCTATTTTATACAAAGTTATCCAACGTATATTTTGATAACTGTCGGAATGTTTTTATTGTTTCTGTGTTTTATAGTATGATTGGAGACTATCGAGCAATTTATGACAGTATTTGTTAGATTGATTTGCCAAACGTAATTTATAATTTTTTGACATTACCCCGCAGCTATTTTTTCAATACACAGTTGTAGAATGATCGACCTCTAGCAAAGAAGTCCGCTCAAACTGGCGGTGCTAGGGGTCGTCGTGAACTTGCAGTGAGGATATAGTTTTTAATCCATGTTGAAGGCCTTACTGCAACTTTGAGATGAAGAACACAAATAAATCCACAGTTCCTTTGCTTTTGGTGTATTCATTGCGCTTACGGATTTTGTGTCATTAGTTGATACACCATATCCTTTCAATTCCTTCAGTCATTGCATGAAGCAGCAATATTTGACAAATATCGTTCATCTTAAAACTTGATCATAACAATATTTCTCGCCATTACATCTAAAGGATGTTGGCTATATATGTACATTCTCAATTCTTTCCTAATATTTTGTAACAGAATTCTTTCCTAATATTTTGTAACCGTCTTGCTTTTTCGAGGCAAGGCATTAAAAAAGTTAGTAACTACCTGTAAATTTATAAATATTGTCTAAAAGCATATATCACAAATGCACTTCTGATAATGTTTCTTTCCCATTCTAGTTACATCCATTACTAGTATATTTTCGATTCAGTGTAACATTCATTTATTCAAATACATTAACATTCAGAGATATAAATTTTCCATAGAGATCATATAAATTACATCAAACGTAAGGCTAATATAGTAATATTTTAAAAAATACCTGCTTTTTAAACCGAATTGATTTTAATGTACTAATACTCAATGTATAGGCAATATCATTTATCACAGATATGCAAAAAGCAAATAGAGAACAATCTTATATACACTCTACACAAAATACTTTTGAAGAAAATAAACCTAGTACATCTTAACATGAAATTTTTTTTACGTGTTTTCAGTTGTCAGATGGGGTTGTACAGTATCAATATGCATTTAACTATAAAATTGATAAACAAACACAATTCTAAACGTCCTAATACTGTTACATCGACAGGCACTTAACGAAAGCAGTTATTTAGGTTTACATATGATTGTGCTGATAAAGATGATTTATCAAAGCGGATTATAAAATAAATATAATTACAAAATACGGAAACCTAGAGGATTGCAAAAATTATCTCACTTCAATTAGGAACTTTTAAAATGAAAATAACATTTTATAAATGTGTTCAGATAGAAGCAAATCAAATGTTCATACATTAAGAAACAAAAATGCCCTAAGCGACAGCAAAAAGCCGAAGGATTGTATATTCATCTGAAGTATGTACTCGGGAACAAAACGGGGACAGATTTACAGAGCCTGTCTTGTCAGACAAAGTCTTACACAAATCGCATTCATAGCTACATCTACGACTAAAGAAGGATGTTCCATTGCAACTTTCGTGAAATTTCCTGATTTCAGGCACCGTTATTTACTATCAATATCAAGAATTTGACAATCAGTTTTTCTTTTAAATTTTAGGAATCCTTCAGCGGAGGTCAAAATTGTTTTTCTATTTTTTCAATCAAACAATGTGAACCCGAATAGAACAATAAGTACAGCTGTTTTACATCGGAAGGATGGGCAATAATTAAAACTATTTACTACAGCCATTGTTTGGTGGGTCGTGAAGTTTGATTTCTTCTAAAGAGAGAACTGTAAAAAAAACCTTGACAGGAAATTGACATTTCTTACATTCATATAAAGTTTCTTATAAGTGGTAACATGATTTTTATGTATGTGTTAAAAATATATTTTGAATACTTAATTGTTACAAGTGCCATTATTTGGCACAAGCATGGTCATGGTCATGGCATTTATACGTTGGTCTGCAAATATTATTAACAATAACCTTTTTTAATGGCAAGCTAATTCTATATAATAGCATTGCAACCAGACATGTCGTCAGCAGAAAGACCATCACAATCCAATTTAAAATCAAAATTACACGTTTTGAATCACTTTCAAATAACATGAAACGGTATCACTTTAAAAAAAAAGTTGGACGCAGTGAAACAGATCAACATCGACCTTAGTCAATAGCAATCAACATTTCATTACAAATTTAAGATTTAGATCAAATAGCATAAGCAAATCCACATGGAAGTGGTCATGTCAGACGGACGACCACAAACCAGTGCCTTTTATTGCGAACCAAAATGAAACTTTTCCCCAGAGTCATCTACTATTGGTCAATCTATTCAAACTTTTGTCAGTTCTATTATCCCATTGAACAAATGCAACAGCTATTGTTCTTTGTGAAGTTTATTCACTGGGACCTTTAAATGTCTTCAAAGAGAAATCCATCACTCATTGATTAATTTACCTGATTAAAAAAATTATCTTCTAAAAGATGAGAATACATGTTTTTACTCACAAAACTGCATGTGATATTGTATTTATTCAATATAAATAATATATTTTCAATCTGTTCAATATTAACACTGATTTTTAAAAATCATAAAGTTGATTTCTGACAAAATTTTTAACATTGTTCCTATTGAAATTTGCATTTTTTTTGTTATAGAATATATTTAAGAAGGCCTTTATTTAAATATCGTCATTTCCCAATTTTTATTTGTCAAACACACACAAAAAATCAATAGGAACAACTTTTTGTCAGAAATCAACTTTTAATGTTTGAATCACTGTTTACATTGAACAAATTGATGATATATTATTATTTGATATTAAATAAATACAACATCACATGCAGTTTTGTGAGTAAAACATGTATTTTCATCTTTTAGAAAATATTTTTTTAATCGTGTAAATTAATCAGAGTGATGGAAATTTAAAGGTCCCAGTGAATAAACTACACAGAGAACAATAGCTGTTGTATTCATTCAATTGGATAATAGAACTGACAAAAGTTTAAAAATAGATTGAACAATAGGAGATGACTCTGTGGAAATGTTTCATTTGGTTCGCAAAAAAAGACTCAAAATATTGCACTATTATCAATTATACATGAGCGTAAAACAATACATACTGTGAGGTAATTGATAAAAACAATAAGAGTATGATCGCTGCTTAAATCTGCGCGACAAAATTTTTACAAAAATTGAATAAAACTACTCTGCTTTGATAAAAAAATAATGCGT